ATACACAGAGAATAACAATTAGCCTTACACGTATTTATTATAAAGCAAGAGAGATACAAAATAAATAAGGTCACAGGCCTATAAATCAAAATGTCAAAACAAGGGTAATGAAATGACCTCCCAAAAAAAGTAGAAGAAAAAAAACAAAAGACAGCCCAGCCTGTGGACTGAAGGGTCCCAGGTTTGATTCCGGTCAAGGGCATGTACCTGGGTTGCAGGCACATCCCCAGTAGGAGATGGGCAGGAGGCAGCTGATCGATGTTTCTCTCTCATCGATGTTTCTAACTCTCTATCTCTCTCCCTTCTTCTCTGTAAAAAATCAATAAAATGAAATGACCTCCCAAAAAAAGTAGAAGAAAAAAAACAAAAGATAGCCCAGCCAGTGTTGCTCAGTGGTTGAGCACTGACCTAGGGACCAGTAGGTCACGGTTCCATTCCAGGTCTGGGCACAGGCCCGGGATGTGGGCTTTATCCCCAGTGTGGGGCGTACAGGAGGCAGCCAATCAATGATTCTCTGTCATCATTGATGTTTCTATCTCTCTCTCCTCCTCCCTTCCTCTCTGAAATCAGTAAAAACATATATATTTTTTAAATGTCCACTCAAATAAATAAATAATCCGTGGTTGTGCCAGTGGCCCCTCGTGATATTGAAAACACACATTGCCCACCTTTTGCCTTATTTAGAAACTGTAAATACTTTTAAAATGGCTTCACCCTAACGGAACAAACAGGTACTATTTGTTAGCCAAAGGCGCCAGGAGAGGCTGTGGCTGACCCAGGGCAGCCCGCCCTGTGCTGGGGGAGGTTTGGTGCCCTTGGGTGTAAAACACTATCTTTCAGAAACGACCTAATCATTTTTTCCCATTACAACCTCTTTATGTAACTCAGTCTCCGGCAAATTCTGAGCTTGGGCTGGCTCTTTGAAAAAGCACCATCAAGGTGCACCCACCAAAGCCATCCACTCCCCGCTCCAACTGGACAGGACTCCCGTGGGCGCTGTGCTCCCTGGCCTGCATTCAGCTGGTGGCGCCTTATTCCACAGGGTGGAAGGCACGAGCCCGGGTTCCCTGTCCCAGCCACTTGTGAGTAAGAGAGGATGCGAAGGAAATCCTGTGAGGTGGGAAGTGCCTGTTGACCTTGGAGAGCTCGTGCTGGTTGGGCAGTAGAAGGGTGTGTGCAGCTTTCTCTGCCCCTTACATTCCTCGGGACCCAGAGAGAAGTCAGTGGGCTTCCCTCTCTCTCAATGTGTGTGTGTGTTCACTCCCGTGTGACAAAGGCACAACGGTGGGTGCCATGCCAGCTGACAGCACAGGGCTGTCGGTCTGACTTCCTTGGAGAACAAAGGAGGTGTGGAAAGAGGAAGGTTCAGGGGCCCACACTTTGGTGCGGGGAAAGTTTGAGAAATTAGCAAATCAGTTCCTTCTGCTCCTGAGCCGTGCAGAACAACCACCATCTCCCTTCCTAGCAGCTCCTCCTCTCTTATGTGTCAACCACGGCTGCCGGCTTTCTCCGTGAGGAGGAATTTCTGCTGGTGCCTGTGAGAATGCGCCAAGGGCCCAGGAGACTGGGTTCCTAACTCCAGGGGCCAGCATTGTAGATGGAAAGAACAGCACAGTCACAAAGACAGCTGCCGAAGTGTCCCATGAGACGTTTATCCAAGTTCCCACTATATCGGGCAAATGGAGAGAAGGAAGAGGGGTCCGCACAGAGGAGCTGGAGTTCCCCCATGACACGGGGAGAGGAATGTTGGGCAGGACCTTGGGGAAAGAGCATGGATTGGCGGAGAGAAGAGCTGGGGAAGGTGCCACAGGCAAAAGCATGAGGGTGGAAGTGCCAGCTGCATGTGCGTGTCTGGTGACAATTTGGAGCCAAGAGTAAAAAGAGAGAAGGTGGGAAAAGCTAGGATGAGCCCCGAGAGGCGGGGATGGAGGCGACAAAATCCCTGGATGGGCCTGAAGATGAGGAAAGACATTTTATTTTCAAACTCAGGAGCAGAGGTGGCTCTCCATTCTTCCAAGCCCACCTCCGTACTCACAAGTGTTTTTCTTTTTAATATATTTTTTATTGATTTCAGAGAGGAAGGGACAGGGAGAGAGGAAGGGACGGGGAGAGATAGATACATCAATGGTAAGAGAGAATCATTGATCGGCTGCCTCCTGCACGCCCCACAATGGGGATCCAGCCCGCAACCCACACATGTGCCCTGACTGGGAATCAAACCGTGACCTCCTGGTTCATAGGTCGGCGCTCAACCACTGAGCCACGCCAGCCAGGCTCTGTGTTCACAAGTTTATCTTCAGCTGCTCTAACTGCCCATTCTTTTGCCACCTTTCCTTGGCAGAAGAGAAAGACTGAGCTCTGGACGGTATAGTTCAGTTGGTTGGAGACTCGTCCCATGCACCAGCAGGTCATGGGTTCGATTCCAGGTCAGGGTACATACCTAGGTTGTGGGTTCGATCCCTGGTCAGAGCGTGTACAAAAGGCAACCAATTGATGTGATGTGTCTCTCTCACATTGATGTTTCTCTCTCTCCCCATCTCTCTAAAAAAATCAATAAGCATATCCTCACGTGAGGATTAAAAATAGATAGATAGATAGATAGATAGATAGATAGATAGATACTAGTAGATAGATAGATGATAGATAAATAGATAGATAAATGATAGATAGATAGATAGAGATAGATAGATAGAGATAGATAGATAGATAGATAGATAGATAGATACTAGTAGATAGATAGATGATAGATAAATAGATAGACAAATGATAGATAGATAGATGATAGATAGATATATGATAGATAGATAGATAGATAGATAGATAGATAGATAGATAGATAGATATAAAAACAAGAGAAAGATGAAGTCATCTACTTGTGAGTTTGGCATGACTGTATTCCATCTCCCTGGTGCCCCACGCTGGGTGGAGATGGCCTTTACGCTGCCCCTGAATTCCCTCAAATGGCCTCATTGTGAGGCTGATGGGCACCAAGGAGACTCTGCCTAAAGGACCCAATGAAGAAGCTGTCACGGGCGGGGGGGGGGTTCTCCATCGCCCACCGAGAGCCCTCTGCTGGTCCCAGCCTTCGTCGTTTTGGATACAACCTCTATGTGTCTCCTGAGGCCTGGGATGGAGATGCCCTGACGTGCAGGCCCCGGCAGGTGGGGTCTCTCCCACTTCCCCCCAGGACCGTGTCTGGGGCCGCAGCATGGACCCTGCCTGCTACCTTGGCACTCTGGCTTCGGCAGCCTCCCCCCTCCCTGGGTGGCATGGAAGACCCCAGGGAAGGGCAATGAAAAGCCAGGATTAACATTCCCAAATAGCCCCTCCATAAGGTTGCCATTTTTCTTCAGCCTGAATTGCTTCAGGTCCTTCACACTTTCAAAGGGCTCCTGGCTGCTCCTAGAACAGTGATGGCGAACCTATGACACGCGTGTCAGAGGTGACACGCGAACTCATTTTTTTGGTTGATTTTTCTTTGTTAAATGGCATTTAAATATATAAAATAAATATCAAAAATATAAGTCTTGCCCTAGCTGGTTTGGCTCAGTGGATAGAGCGTTAGCCTGTGGACTGAAGGGTCCCAGGTTCGATTCCAGTGAAGGGCACATGCCCGGGTTGCGGGCTCGATCCCCAGTAGGGGGCATGCAGGAGGCAGCCGATCAATGATTCTCATCATTGATGTTTCTATCTTTCTATCCCTCTCCCTTCCTCTCTGAAATCAATAAAAATATGTTTAAAAAATATATATAAGTCTTTGTTTTACTATGGTTGCAAATATCAAAAAATTTCTATATGTGACACGGCACCAGAGTTAAGTTAGGGTTTTTCAAAATGCTGACACGCCGAGCTCAAAAGGTTCACAATCACTGTCCTAGAACAACGTTCTCCTGCCCTGCGTGGCATGAGAAGACCTCGGCGATTTGGTCTTACCTGTTCTTGTCCAGCCTTCCCTTCCGCGGGAATTTCCATACACTCCCCCAGCAAGCCACATGCTAACCACGTGCCCCCTCCGAGCGGCTACCGCCTCCCCTGCGCCCTCATCGCTTCCCTGGCACTGCTCCTTGGTTAGTGTCCATTTTAAGTTTCATCTGTCCCTGAGCTCTCCTGTGTCTCCCAGCCCCAGGGACCTGCCTCCGTCACCTGCACTCACCACTCAGCCCCGTGTCCTAGGACATCTCTGTGCACGCATGAGCCCAGGATGCATGCACCAGCTGCTTGCACGTAACAGGTCACCCACCCGCCCTGGTCACCCAGAGCCTAGCACCTGCACAGGCCACCGAACAGCAGACATTTCTGGGAGCCCCTGGGGCCGTGTGGCCCACAGGTGCTAGACGGCCATGTGCCACTGCTCTGGCCCGTCCGGAGGGCGCTGTCAGTGTGGTTGCAGCCAGGTGGCTGGCACCTCGATCCACCGCACTCCTCTCACTGACACCGAAGTTGTACAGCGGCCTATGGCACTGGCTGCTTCTTTCCTGAGCTCCTCTCCTTTAGACAATTCCCAGGATAGGCTTCATTTCATTTCCAAGTTGTGTGTGACCAGCTCCTGCAGCTTTACTTACGGCGGTGGCCCCAGTCTATCCTACGCCCTGGCCTAAGAGGAGGGCAGATCTGATTAAGAGTTGGGCACCAGATCTTTCCTAACCCTCAGTTAGTGATGTTTCAGGCCAGTCTGTATCTTTTGCTGTGATGGTGAGGAGGGAGGGGCCCGCTAGCGAGGCCGGCCTGCCTCCCTGGAGCCCCAAGCCCCCGTCAGCCAGCTGAGTATCCCCCCGCCCCACCGCTCTGAGCATCCGCAGTCTGCAGTCTCTACCAAACCCCCAGGTACCTTTGCCCTCTTTTTAAGCCCTTGGAATGGTTTTCATGGAAATTTAATTCATGATCTGCCTCACAGAGACAGGATGTGACAGGGACTTCCTCCTTTTGTCTATCTCTCTTGGCTTTTATAGCAAAGGGCAGGGCAAGCAGCGGGTGTGTTAAGGTGGAAGGTAGATGGGGACTTGTCACACGTGAGCTGCCCCTCAACTGGACCAAGACTCTTTACAACGAGCATCTTCTTTGCCCCAGAGTTGGGATCGCCAGGACTCGTCTGCCACTTCGGACCCTCCGCCGCAGCCTGCCAGGTACGTGGCTCACTCCCAAGCCTGTCCAAACCTCCACCTCTCAGAACCGGGAAGCAGAAAATGATGGCTTCTTGAGCGAGCACAGGTTGGCCCCATCTTCCCAGCAGGGCCTGGCTGCAGGGAGGGGGTTTGGAGTGTGGCCACGGGGAGATGCAGCTCCGCCTGAGGGTCCCTTCTTGGGGAGGTTCATCTGCCTGGGAGACGGGGTAGAAGCTCCCTTGTGGGCCTGTTGAAATCAAACCAAAGCGAGCCAGTGAGCATCGATCCATCGGCAGCTTGTGGACGGCCAAGGTGCAAACCCTATCCCGGGCTTACAGCTTAGGGCACTGGGCATGGGAGGAGGGCGAAGCTCACGAAAGTAGCAAAAGCAAAAAATAACCTTTGAAGAGATACTCAAAGCTGAGGGACCTGCAATCTCAAGACCATGGGTGAGTTCTAGGAACTGGAGAAGCAGGAGGAGCAAACTGGAATGGGTTGGAAGGGGCCGGGAAGGCGGGGGGAGCGTGAGGAGGAAAGGAATGAGGGCACCTGGGCTTCCCCTGGCACAGGCGGCAGCATTTGTGCGCCCGTGTGGCCGAGCCTTCCTTCCCCCCACCCCCCGCCTCCCGGGTCCCCAGGAGGGAACATGCCGAGGCTCCCTGGAAAGCAGGGAGAAGGTGCCCACCAGCAAAACTTAGCTCCCGCCTGAAACCCCCCGTCTGTCCATCCCCTCCCCACTGGCCCCTCCATCTTCCCCGAATATTCAGCGCATCCAGACCTTTCCCCCAGCAGAGCCTCCTCACCCGATCCAGAACCTGAAATCCATGCCCTGTGGTGTGCACAGCTGAGGGGGAAGTGCGCCCTCACAGGGTCCTTGCTCTCCGGGAGGACTGAGCCTCTAAAGCAGAGGTCAGGAGGGTGAGCGGCAGGTGGCAGGCGGGGGATTTCCCTGCGCAGGATGCAAGGGTGGTTTCTTCCCCAGGCTCTTGTCCAGGTGGAGTTGAAAAATGAAGCCACGGACAAAAGGTGGCAAAAGAAAATAGTGGAAATTTATTGGAAACAAGTACAGACTCCCACGTGGGAGGGGTTCCCAAGGGGGTGACCCACTGAGCCCCCTTTTTTCTAAGGTTTCTTAAGGCTGCAGTTCTTTGCTTCTTGATGCTGCCTTCCAGTTGGTAGAACATCAACTTCAAAGCTCACACTCCCCCTGTTTCTCCCCCTTCAGCGGTAGAATTCTCTGTCTGCTGTGGAAATCTGTTTCCCTCTTCTCCCATGTGTGGGCATTTCTCTGTTCCCTGTGGGAGTCTGCTTCCTTTCTCCCCATGCCCGTGGCTTCCCTATCTTCTGTGAGTGGGTGTCTCCCTCTCCCCTTATCCGGTGGCACCTTTTGTTATCGGTGAATGGATGCCTGTTGACAGCTCCAAGCCCCCACCTACAGGCTCCAAGCCTTCCTCCCCCAAGGACCCTCTTAGGTTCTAAAACTCCCTAAACCCGCCTATTTTACCCCTAAAAGCTCCTTTCGGTAGCACAGGGCATTCAGCCCCTCTGAAGCCCCTTCAGGAACTGCCAGACTGTCTCCCTCTGAGTGAAGGCTTCCCGGGCACGGCCTTGTGTGTTGGGAGCAAAGAGACCACAGGGCACGTGCCTTCTGCTCGAGAAGATGCTGCTCACGCGCTCTAAGGGAGACTCCGTTTTGAGGGGACTTTTAGAATTTGATTCATTGGCTGGTGGTTGGTTGGTTGGCTCATTGGTCTTGGGGCTGACGTCTGGGGACTCAGTGCACAAGAGGTGCTGTCAGGGCAAGTGCTGTGGCCGGGAGGTCCCTACAGGGGTCACGATGGGTGGGGGACAGGAGACTGGAGGGGCACCCAGTCCTGACACGTGGCACCGCTGATGAGGAATTCAGAGAAACGCAGAGCTTGAACCCCCTCTCCACCACCACCTTGGCGCAGGCTGGTCAGCTGGCCTCCTCGTGCCTCCGTTTCCTTGTCTGTGGCAATAATAGTCTTAATACTCTGGTGTAGGTAAGTGATTGGTAAGATACTAAGGTCTCGATTTGTGCTAATTTGAGAGAGAGAGAGAGAGAGAGACCGCCTCCTCCAGCCTTGGTGACAGAAATCACATGGGTGCATCACAACAGACACCTGCAGTCCTACAGTAATCTCAGGGTCTGACAGCCCCAGCCCCCCGGAATATCGGGGCATGCACTCCTCCTGTGAAGCACACCCGCCCCAGCTGTGGGCCTGATGAGCCATGGCTGCCACAGAGAGGACTCAAGTCACAACTACCATAAGACTGGACTAACTCCTCAGAGCCCGGCCAGTCCAAACAGAGCCGTCAGGTGTCCTGAGCCCTCCTGTCTGGGAGGCGTTGGCTGCTGCTAATAGACCTCATGGTCTTGCCCTCCTGAGCCTCTAGTTAAGAGTCCAGAAGTAAAGACCGAGGCCCAAAAGAGAAGAGAACGGGCAGGAGAGGAAATGCACCCCCTGTTCTGGGATTCTTGCTGCTGGTTTCCAGGCCTGACCCATACATGTTGCTGCCCTCAGCCCGGAGGGTGAGAGGCTGGACTGTCTGGTTATTGTGTGAATAGTCACCGCAGTAGCTGCTGGCCTGGAACACAGCCAGGACCCTCCAGAAGGGACTCTGACTTCCTCCCCCCAGAGGCCCCCCCTGAAGCACAAACCAACTGCTCCAGCCTGTCTCCCCCTCCCCCTTCCTGTGAGCTCCTGGGGGGCAGGGCCCCTCGCCCCTGGCCCACTCACCTCACAGGCTATCATCTCCCACCCCCATGGTATTCTATTGACCCAGTCCTCCCAGCTCAGGGGCCCCCTGGGGAGTCTCCCCTCTCCCATTAAGTCACCCTCACACCTCCTCTGGCCCCTCTCCTGCTGAATAACCTAGCAACCTTTTCAAGTCTTTCATCTCAACCCGGCCAGTGGTATTGCTGACCGTTGGTTGGGGCTCTGCGGCCACAGGACCACAGGAGCATGTGCCATGTCCCAGGTCTGTGTGAAAGGAAACCAAACCGTGGCGTGGGAGGGAGAAGGAGGGGGAAGGGAGGCTGAGGATGACGAGAGTGAAACTTCATGGGGCTCCCTCCCCTTGGGGTGCTATGATGGAGTGAAAGGAGGGGGATGCGTCTCCGGAGGAAGGTGGAGGGTGGCGAGCAGCTGTTAGAAGGTGGAGGCGGAGGGGGGAGGTGCTCACTTTTCTTTAGAGCACCCAGCCAAGCTGTGGGAAGCTTAGCGACCCTCTGAGTTGGCATTGGTTTCGTCTATTGTTCAAGCAAAGAAATTGAGGTTCCGCCAGTTATAAAATTTGCCTAAAGTCTCACAACTAAACAAAGGACAAATGTGGAGAGGATTGTGTATCTCCCAAGATGCATCGGCTGCCCGCACTCACTGGCTATAGGACTGTGGGACATGCTGCAAGTCCCAAGGTGGTGTCAGGAGTAAGAGGGACAGCCCTCGCCTGCACTGGGGGTGGGTTTCCTGGACCACAGGTGGCGGTTGGTGTAGCTAGATGGGACCACGCCATCACTGTGGCCTCAAAGATGCCATAGACTCGGGGCAGTCACCAGCTAACCTCCTGGAGGTCACACCTGAGGGTCTAGGACCGGAGGGAGGTGTCCCAAGTGCGGTTGAAGTTGGTCAGCAGCTGCCAGGCATGCGTCCCATTTCTGAGAGATTAGAACTCGGTGTTTGTTCATCTGTTTTGTGGACCTGATGTTCCAGGCCAAGGGAAATGGGAACAGGGCTGGGCAAGGAGAGTGAAAATGCATGTGAGAGTTTTTATAGATTTCCCTTTGTAGAAAGTCACTAAATACTACCTGAGCCCCAGTACAGCACGCGGCTCTATTTCTGGCTCTAAAACAATGTGAACCTCAGGAACCGCTTCCTCTGGGACCTTGGGCCCTGTCCCCATGTGGCTCCGTGAGGCCAGGCAAGGCCAGTGATGCCATTAACAGAGCTGCCTGGTAAAATTAGAAGCAGCTCTCACATCCGGCTATGAAGAAGCATGTCAAACTCAAAGGCTAACACGGGCCACATAAATGAGGCATGTGGCCTGCAGGCCACGAGTGTGACATGCTTGGTTTAGAAGAAGCCAGGTACTGGGGTTGTTAAGAACCAGACGAAAGATCATTAAGGCACTGATAGACCTCTGGCCTGAGGGGCCGGGTTCCAGCTCTCCTGTGCCACCCCAGCATCTCTTTGTCCCTCTGCAGGTGACCCTACTGCTGAGGAGATGGTAAAGTCCCCAGTTTCCCTGGACTGGTTTCAGCGGGTACCTCAGCCCAGCAGTCTCGTCTTCCTCATCCACCTCCTCCTCTTCCTCCAGCCTCGGGAGTCAAACTCAGGTAGCGTATCCGATCTGCAGCCCAGCCAGCCAGGACGTGAGCATATCAGCTCCCACCTGCCCCTCCTGCAGGTGCTCCCGGCTGAGATCTGTAGCCATGCCGGGTGCTAGTATTTAAGAACATTTCCATCCCAGTGGTTAGAGCCATCAGCCCCACACACCAGCCAGCCCCACCCGCAGCCACCCAGCATATTCCTACACACTCCCCACAGCTCACAAGCATGGCCGGGGCAGAGCAAGAGAGTGCCAAGAAACACTTACTGGTCTGTGCTTGGGCTGAGCCAGTTGGAAAATACTTTTAAATCCATCTGTCCAGCTGTTTGTGATCAGGGTGCAAGAGAAATGTACCCAAGCTTTGGGAGCAGAGCTAAGAGAATCATTTGGGGTTTTTTTTTCCAGAAAGCCAAAAAGAGCCCTAGATAGGAGGACGTGTTTGAGCAGAGCCTTGCAGGGTACATATTAGGCAGAAAGATGACAGGTGGAGGGTAAACTGAGGGAGGGTGCACCCAGGGAGAGGGCCAGGCATCAGGTGTGTGTGGGGGGGGGGAGCTGGAGAAGGAAGCTAGTTGGAAGGGTGTTGGGGCTTCACCCGTGGCCACAAGGGATCTCAAGTGGAGTGAACAAAGAAGGCACCGCCATGCCCCACCGAAGGGGGGGCGGGATCCATGATGGGAGAGCTGGGAGTGAGGTTTTAGTTAAGCTTGGGATGAATGTAGCTTTTAGCTGATCTTCAAAGGGAGGAAAGGAGGTTCCCAGAAGGCAGAGAGAAGAGTGAGGCATGCCGGGAGGCAGGAAACAGCTCGTGCAGAAGAACGGCAGCAAGACTAGCACCTCTCCTGGGAATTGCAGAAACCGGAGGGACCAGGTGGACACGCGAGAAAGAGGATGATCAAACGAAAGATCCTGGTGAACAGAAGTCTCCAAGGCAGGGCTCTCTGCTCCTCCTGCTCATCACACAGCCTTGTCTTCTCGCGCAGAGCCAGCGGCAACTCTGACATGCAATGGTGAAGGTCAGAGTGAACAACTGTGGCCACCTGGTCACCAGGCTGCTTTTATTTATTTATTTTTAAAATATATTTTATTGATTTTTTACAGAGAGGAAGGGTGAGGGATAGAGAGTTAGAAACATTGATGAGAGAGAAACATCAATCAGCTGCCTCCTGAACACCCCCTACTGGGGATGTGCCCGCAGCCAAGGTACATGCCCTTGACTGGAATCGAACCTGGGACCCTTCGATCCACAGGCCGATGCTCTATCCACTGAGCCAAACCAGTCAGGGCACCAGGGCTGCTTTTAAATCTGGGAAAATGGACATCGTCCCCATCAATGACCCCCTTCATTGACCCCAACTGTATGGTGTACATGTTCCAGTCTGATTCTATTCAAGTGCAAAGGCACAGTCAAGGCTGAGAATGGGAAGCTTGTCATCAGTGGAAAGTCCATCTCCATCTTCCAGGAGTGAGATCCCGCCAACATCATATGGGAAGATGCTGGTGTTGAGTATGTTGTGGGGTCACTGGTGTCTTCACTCCCATGGAGAAGGCTGGGGCTCACTGGAAGGGCGGAGCCAAGAGGGTCATCATCTCTGCCCCTTCTGCGGCTGCCCCCATGTTTGTGATGGGTGTGAACCATGCAAGTATGACAACTCCCTCGAGATTGTCAGCAATGCCTCCTGCACCACCCACTGCTTGCCCCCCCTGGCCAAGGTCATCCATGACAACTTCAGCATCCTGGAGGGACTCATGACCACAGTCCATGCCGTCACCGCCACCCAGAAGACCCTGATGGCCCCTCTGGGAAGCTGTGGTGTGATGGCCGAGGGGCTGCCCAGAGCATCATCCCTGCTTCTACTGGCACTGCCGAGGCTGTGGGCCCGGTCATCCCTGAGCTGAAGGGAAGCTCACTGGCATGGCCTTCCGTGTCCCGCCCACAGTGTCAGTTATGGATCTGACCTGCCGCATGGAGAAAGCTGCCAAATATGTGACATGAAGAAGGGAGTGAAGCAGGCGTCAGAGGCCCCTCAAGGGCATCCTGGGCTCCACTGAGGACCAGGTGGTCTCCTGAGACTTTAACAATGACACCCACTCCTCCATCTCTGATGCTGGTGCTGGCATTGCCCTCAGTGACCACTCTTTCAGGCTCGTTTCCCGGTCTGACAATGAATTTGGCTGCAGCAACAGGGTGGTGGACCTCATGGTCCCCATGGCCTCCGAGGAGTAAGAACCCCCTGGACCACCAGCCCCAGCGAGAGGAAGGGTCCTCAGCTGCTGGGGAGTCCTGGCCCCAGATCGATCCCTCAACACAATGAGAATCTCCTAACCTCTATAGTTTCCACCCCAGACCCCTGAAGAGGGGAGGGGCATAGGAGCCCCACTTTGTCGTGCACCATCAATAAAGTTCAGTGCACCCCCCAAATAAACATCTTCAAGGAAGGATTTGACCTTTTTTAAAAATATATTTTTTTATCAACTTCAGAGAGGGAGAGAGAGATAGAAACACCCATGAGGAGACAGAATCATTGACTGGCTGCCTCCTGCACGCCCCCCACTGTGATCCAGCCAGCAACCCAGGCATGTGGCCCGACCAGGAATCAAACAGTGACCTCCAGGTTCATAGGTCAATGCTCGACCACTGAGCCATGCCAGCTGGGCAGGATTTGACTTTTAGGTTAAAAATTTTAAAAAAAGTAAAGTGCCCTAGCTGGTTTGGCTCAGTGGACTAAAGGGTCCTGAGTTTGATTCTGGTCAAGGGCCGTACCTTGGTTGCAGGCTCAATCCTGTGTGTGGGAGGCAACCAACCTATGTTCTCTCTCTGTCTCTCCCCCTCCCTTCCACTCTCTCTAAAAGTCAATGGAAAAAATATCCTTGGGCCCTAGCCGGTTTGGCTCAGTGGATTGAGCATCAGTCTGCGGACTGACGGGTTCCGGGTTCAAATAGGGTCAAGGGCACGTACCTTGGTTGCAGGCTCCCAGCCCTGTTCAGGGGCATGCAGGAGGCAACCAATCGATGTGTCTCTCTCAGATCATTGTTTCTGTCTCTCCCTTTCCTTTCCACTCTCTCTAAAAATCAATGGGAGGGGGGAAAGGAGACATATATAATACTCTTTGTAATACTTCAAGCAATAAAAATATATATATATATTAAAAAATCAATGGAAAAAAATTTCCTCGAGTGAGGATTAAATATATATATAATCTCCTCAGGTGAGGATTAACAAAAGAAAAGGCAAGGAGCCCCATAGATTATTATTATTATTTTAAAAATATTTTTTTTTATTGATTTCAGAGAGGAAGGGCGAGGGAGAGAGAGATAGAAATGTCAATAATGAGAGAGAATCGTTGATCGGCTGCCTCCTGCACACCCCCCACTGCGGATCAAGCCCACAACCTGGCATGTGTCCTTGACCAGAATCAAACCTGGGACCCTTCAGTCCATGGGCTGCCGCTCCATCCACTGTGCCAAACCAGCTAGGGCCCCATAGATTATTTTTAATACCCGTTGCTGTTACAGAGGCTGTGTATATGTACACTATAAAAAATATAAAATCAGACAAAACAAAAAAAGAAAATATTCCCATTATTCAGAAACTACCAATTCATTTCTTTTTTAAAAACATATTTTTATTGATTTCAGAGAAGAAGGGAGAGGGAGAGATAGAAACATCAGTGATGAGAAAGAATCATTGATCGGCTGCCTCCTGCAGCCTCCTGCCTCCTGCACGCCCCCTACTGGGGATCAAGCCTGCAACAAGGGCATGTGCCCTTGACCAGAATCGAACTCGAGACCCTTCAGTCTGCAGGTCGAGGATCTACCCACTGAGCCAAACCGGTTAGGGCCCAATTCCTTTCTTTCATGACAATAACTTGTTCAAGAAACCTGATGGCTGTCTTGTAGAGTGTCTCACCTTCCTCGTCCGAATGGTTTACTGCAGATTTCTGAGCTGCAAAGGGATATGACAAAGGCCTATCTGTGAGGAGAGCTGTATTTGGCCATTGTTCTGTCTTCTCATACTAGAGGAGGTCAAGGTGATTGGCCCTGGGGAGTCCATCCTGGCGAATGTCGGGGAAGAGGTGGAGTTCCCGTGCCACCTGTCCCCCTACCGAGATGCGGAGCACATGGAGATCCTCTGGTTCCGGAGCCAGGCCTCCGACGTGGTGCACCTGTACCAGGACCGGCGGGAGCTCCCGGGGCGGCAGATGGCGCAGTTCCAGAACAGGACCACACTCATCAAGGACGAGATCTTGGACGGCGCCGTGATCCTGCAGCTCCAGGACGTGCTCCCCGCCGACCAGGGCTCTTATGGGTGCCGCTTCCTCTCCCGCGACGACTCCTTCTCCGGGGAAGCTGTGTGGGAGCTGGAGGTAGCAGGTGCGTGAGCTGTGAGCTGGCCGAGCGCCAGCGGGGGGGCCGTAGGGAAGGGTCCATTGGATGTAACTGCTTGGCTTCAGAGTAGACGGGGAAGCGCGGAGAACAGGGGAATTGCTCTGTTAAAAAAATTAGAAAATGAACAACAAAAAAGTTGTTCACAAAAAAAAAGATACACAGATAGCCCGTAAACATATGGAAAGATGATTGATCCCTTTTACTCATCGTGAAAGGCAAATTAAAGCCACACTGACATGCAATTTTTTACTTCTCAGTCTGGCAAAAACTTTAAAATTGGTGGGATTGTGGGGAGGAGCCTCTGCACCATGTAGACAAAGTTCAAGGTCCCAAAGCGCCAGGGCCTGGGGATTCGGCGACTGCAGGGTCGTCTGCGCACCTACCTTTGAACACCAATCTCACCTCTAGGAGTTTACCCTGAAGAGACACGGCCCGCAGCTAAATAGAAAAAAAGGCATAGGGATAAGTTTAATCTGTGTAGCATTCTTTGTAATTGCAAATTAGCGGGAGCAACCTCAGTGAGCAAGCACGGGTGCTGAGTGTGGCCTGTCACACGTGGGGTGATCCATACCGCGTGCCTGGAGACACAGCAGCTCTGTGAACTGGTGCGGAGTGATTTCCAGGTTGTTCAGACAAAAGGAAAGCAAGATGCATGAGATGCTCTATAATGTGTCAACTTTAGTGTAAGAAAGAAGGAGAAACACTGCACAAGACAAAACGCAGGGAGGATAAGTAGAAACGAATGAAATGAGTTCCCTAAGGCAGGGGCTGCGAGGGGATGGAAAGGATGGAGAAAGGTCTGGGGCTCTCCTGACATACATCTTTACAGTATTGGCATTTAAACCATATTAGCGGTTTGCATATTTAAAACGTAAAGCTAGCGCCACAAGGATGGGGCGATAAAGGAGTGTGTTTATCACAGGCACTTGAGCCCTGGTGGGATTCAGGAGAGAGAGAAGACAAGCTGTTGAACTCTGGGGAGAGATTATTCTTCATTCTCGGGGACTGTCCCTTGCATAATATGACTAAACTAGAGGACCAGTGCATGAAATTCGTGCACTGGGGGGGGGGGGGAGGTCTCTCAGCCCAGCCTTACCCCCTCTCACAGACTGGGAGCCCTCAGGGGATGTCCTACTGACAGCTTGTGTCCACTGGGATGGGGGCGTGCTCCAAGCTGTGCGGAGGCCACCGGGAGCACACCCCCAGCCCTGCATTGTGTCTGCTGGGCTGAGGGCATGCTGCCTGCCCAGACACCCTCCCTCCCTCCACCGCTGGGGCGCGGGATGCTGGCCTCGTTGCTGGGGCGACAATGCCAGCGTCCTGCCCCGGCTGCTATGGGCGCCACCATCTTTGTGACAGAGTGACAGTTAATTTGCATGTTACCCTTTTATTAGATTAGATGTCAGTAGCCCCTTCGAGTGCCTCCTCCATGTTTCCAAATGTTCCAACGGACTCCTCGTTGGCCGTCCGTGGGTGGAGGCTAGGAGCCCATGTGTGCTCAGAGCAGTCATAGTTCGTGATGCCTTATGGTGACTGCAAATGATAAGCTTTAACCAAAACTTCCGGGAAGGAGCCTAATCCTTCCCACTCCTGCCTCTCCCAGGAATGGGGTCAGACCCTCACATCTCCCTTGAGGGCTTCAAGAAAGGAGGCATTCAGCTCAGGTGCAGCTCCAGTGGCTGGTACCCCAAGCCTCAGGCTCAGTGGAGAGGCCACCTGGGACAGTGCCTGCCTCCGGAGTTCGAAGCCATCACCCAGGACGCCCGAGGCCTGTTCAGTCTGGAGACATCTGTGGTCGTCCAAGGGGGGGCCCACAGCAACGTGTCCTGCTCCATCCAGAACCCTGTTCTGCTCCAGAAGAAAGAGTTTGTGGTCCAAATAGCAGGTCAGTGGGTGCTGGCTCACTTTCATCTTCCTAATCATCACATCCTCCATGTCCATTGTCCCAAAGTCCATCTACAAGGTCACAATAGTATGGGGGCCTGGCTGGGGTGAGCTGACCTTGACATCTGAAAAGCCAGCAATTTGGATATCAGGAACCTACTAAGAATGCAACTGGCAACCCCACCCGTAAACAGAGAAGGCCCCAGAGAGCCAACATTACAAGGCCACCAGCTAAAACCCAGAAACCCTACTCACAGGAGGCAAATGTTCCTAATGTGACCCCTAACAGTAGTTACTGAGACCCGACAATGTGCTCCAAACCCCTGTCCTCAGTTCACATTCCAGTGGGAGAAACACACAAACAGGTGAATTACATTGTACATTAGAAGGTGTTAGGCCTGTATGGAATAATGAAGCAAGGAAGACTGATAAGACAGGGTGGGGTGTGTGTGTGTGGATTCAAAAGTGGTGGATCAGGGAAGAAGTCAGTTAGGCAGTGAGTTGAAGGTGAGGCCATTATTTAACATCAAAGTCTTTTTCTGAGGCTCCCGCTGAAAGGTTTAATGTTCATGGCTCTAGTTGTTTTTAAGTCTTGAGGACAAACCCAATCTATGGGCCATTTATCCACATAGGGTCCAAATCAACAGTTATAATAACAGAAAGAAATGTCATCCTTATAAATGATGATTTATCCTCAGGTAAGAGGACTTGACAGTCCACATAGTTCATTTAAATATGGCTGGCAATTGGGGTGGCCATCTGTGTTAGCTAATTGTCCTTTTTATTTATTTATCTATTTTAGAGAGAGAGCAACGGCAGGAAGAAGGGAGAGAGAGAGAAAAAAAATCTACTTGTTGTTCCACCTACTTATGCATCCATTGGTTGAGTCTTGTTGGTGCCCTGACCAGGGCTCAAACCCACAACCTTGGCACATTGGGATGATACCAGCTGAGCACCCAGCCAGGGTGACCTTAGCTGATGGTCCTTACCCAAAGGGAAGCTAAAACATCGAATATCTTTATGACAAGGATGTAGCTACAACTTGGAGCCAGGTGCCTCCGTGAAACTCCCAGGACACAGGATAGAGGGGTTTTCTCTTGGATGTTTACATTTCAAAGAGATGGCTTTGAGCTCCCAAAGAGAAACATTCCTGGGGTGTAAAGCTGGCTGGTGGGAGGCTTATTTCGCTTCCAAAAGAATTTGCATACATCTCAATAGGCTAGAGAAAAGATTTACAAGTTTTCCAAAGAAAATGGTCTAAGAAAGGGGAAAGGAAATGGGGGGAGTCTCTTTTCTTACACCAGGGAATTTTTATTTACTTTTTTAGATGTGTAGATGTTTTGTTGATATCCGAAACCCAGTTTGCTTCTTTGCAAACACTTAGCTTCTACGTCTCATCACATCTTTGGAAGAATTGATAGCAAAGCCGCACGGGGCTTTATGAAGGGTGTGAGTCACATGGATATCTATTGGGGTGGGGGGGCGTTGAGGTAGAGGGAAGAGGAAGTGCAAAGGTCCTGAGGTGGGACTGTGTGTGACTATTGGAGGAGGTGGGAGGGGAAGGAACAGGGACAAGATCAAGGGTAGCTGGTCAGGGTGGCATCACACCCTGAGACTTTGCTCTCAACCTGAGGTGAAGGACCAATCCGTGTGGCCCAGTAGTTTTGTACCAGATAATAAAAATGCACGGCTAGAAAAATTAAACAAACAAACAAAAGAGCACATTGTGCTAAGTGGAATGTCAGACACAAAGGACACCTGTTGTCTGATTCCACTTTCATAAGGTAGTCAATTCATAAAGACGGAAAGTAGAATAGAGGTTACCCGGGGTAGGAGAACGGGGACCTGGGAAGTGAGTGCTTACTGGGGACACTGTTCCTACTGTGACCCCTAACAGTATTTACTGAGGACCAACGACGTGCTCCAAACCCGTCCTCAGTTCACATTCCAGTGGGAGAAACACACAAACAGCTGAATTACGTTGTAGGGAAGAAGAAGAAAAGTTCTGGTGGTTGCACTGAACTGTAAGCTTAAAAACGGCCAAGATGGTACATTTATGTGATGTGTATGTAACCACGATAAAAAGAAGAAAAAAAGTTTTAAAAGGCCACTGAGATGAAAGCACCAATTTTTTATAATTACTGCCGCAGACACAGAACCACTCTGTTAAACTGTCACACGGGTTTCCAAAGGGCTAGTCTCCGTGCTGCACCTGTGAACTGTCCGCAGCGGCCTCCCCAGGGGACCCGGGGAGGAAAGGGC